CCCCCCCCTTAGCCCAGCCGAGACCTGGGCCCAGGTCTCCAAAAGGTTGCCGGTCCCTGTTCTAGAGTCTAGAAACATGGAAGTTAGAGTGGTGTCAAATGGCTTTATTTCTGCCATGTGGCAGCAACCTGAGAGACAGAGGCTTGATGAGCTTAGGACAGATTAGAACCAGGGACATCCTGACAAGCAGTATGCAGTTTTAGCAGACATACTATCTCATGGAATTATTGCAAGGATGCGCAAAGGATGGGCACCCCTCCAGATGTTGGTTGCCATCTTGTATGCCTCAGTGTACTGCAGTGCATGTGGACCTACACTATACTGAGCCATACACAACTCTCAATGTACTAAAAAGCCTCTGAAACCTCCTGCATGGCTATTCCATGTTCTGTGGGGAGATGGCTGGATTACAGAAGCATCTGGCTATGCCCCTGTCGCCAGAGGCAGAATGATCACAGCACTGCTGAGATCTTCAAAGACCCCAGCAGATTGCACACTGAGGTCATAATTTCATATCTGGTTACAGAGACATAGCCAGATGCTTCTGTGATCCTGTCTGCTCCCCACAAGGCATGGAATGGCCATGACAGGGTCTTCAGAGGCTATTCAGTAAGTTGAGGAACTTTGGGTGCTGCAGAGGGAAGAAGGTAACACCAACCCTACATTGCCTGGAAAAAGACATACACTTGGATAAGGGAAGTTTTCATGAGCATCCGTCCATAAGAGGATGCTAGCCATTGTTGCATTTCATATCCTGTATCAGAAAAATGGAACAAAGAGACTCCATGGACTGAAGGAAAGAGAGTTTATTCTAAAAAAACAAAATTACGCTAGCAGGTTCAACAGGAAATAGTTTTCCAAAGATGCTGAGCTTTGATTTAAGCAAAATGAGAATCTTATATAGTGATCTTACAGGCATATAGGAAGACCACTCCCTCTTCCCTCTCTAGTTCAGTTAGTTTCGCAATATTCAGCACTTTTTGCTAAGCATACATTGTTTTCAGAACATAGGAGTCTTATATAGAAAATGTTTACAGTACAAGATGACTGCGGCCGTTTCAATGCAACCCCGGTGGCAGTACAGAGCACAGTGCTAAGAGAAACAAATAGACAGACAGAAAAATTTCCAAAGTTTCATCTAGAGTCCTAGTTGATTATCTAGGCTGACCCCAAATCATAGGCAATCATGGAAAGTCATTTTAAAATACAATTTTCAGCTACAGGCAGTTGACTATTTCTGTCCCAGGATTCCTCATCACTATCTAGGGCAGCTGGGTTATGCAGTTGAATAATATTTGGAAGGCTGTACTTTGACCACTCCTGTGTTGCAGTCCAAACTTCTTAAACATGTTAGCAACAGAAGACCCAGAGCGTATGGAGCATTGCATGCCCTATTTATCAGCCCCTTCGATCCCTGTGTTGGGCCTATAATGAAGCCACAGTGCAAAGTATTCTCTCTCAGCCTTGGCTTCCCCACTCTGTGAAATGGAAGCAAATGTCCTGATAGGTCCAAAGCAATATGAAACATTGGCAGAATCTAATAGCTGAAAAAGTGAGGTTCCTATCAGTGCACACCTCTGATGGGACACATAAATAAATGACTGAAGCTTTCTCCTCCTAGATTTCCTTGCAATGTTTGCTTTTCTCCCTTGTCTTATCTAGGGTCTGTGCATTTATATTCCGTTTACCTAAAAGCATTCGTAACCACTGATAGACTACCCTGCATGAGCTTGTCTAATCCCCCTTTTAAAGCCATTCCTGTGACCATCACCATATCTTGCGGTACTGAGTTCCATAAATTAATTACATACTCCGTAACGAAGAATTTTTCAGTGCCTATCCTGAATCTTTGATCAGTTTCAGTGGATGTCCCAAGGTTTGTCCAGAATCCATTGCCATCCAACCTGGCTGATTCCAGTTTTTATATGATGAGAAATGTTTCTTTCCATGCATGGTTTCCTTGAAGCAGATCTCAGACTGGGGACAATGATTATTTCTGTCAGGGATGTTTGTCTTTCAAAACTGCATTGTGTGATATAAAATTTATGTTTTCAATATTCATAATTTGGTGTTAGCAAGAAAAAGATCTTATTGAATTGAATGGGACTTATGAGTAAGTATGCTTATTTTTATGGACATGCACACCATGACTTAGGCTGCATCTAGACTGCAGAATTAATGCAGTTTGACACCACTATAACTGCCATGGCTCAATGCTATGGAATTCTGGGATTTATAGTTTTGTGAGATATTGAGCCTTTTCAGTCAGAGAGAGCTCTGGTGCCACAACTCCCAGGATTCCATAGGATGGACAGTTAAAGCAGCCTTAGATCCTCCCCTCATAACAATTCTTCCTTCTTAAATTAATTTGCCTTTAAGTCCCCAAATTGGTGGTAAACTTAAAACATCATTTGAGCATTTGGAAATACAGTTTAAACATCCAAAGAAAAGTGCCAGGTAAAGTTATCGAGGGAATGTGAACACAGAGTTCGAGGTGCGAATGATTTTCCACATCTTGCTCTTTGCAATACTAGAAATGGGGGGACTGAAGGGAAAATTCATTTATGGGGGTAGAATTCTTAATTGGAGAAGCAATGCCCATGTTTTGCAGCTGCATCCCTGAATTTAGATAGCAAAATAATAGTGCACTACACTGTTATAGCATTTTTATTACTCTTTTATTATTGCTATGGCTGCTTCCTATGGCATTCTGGGGTTTGTAGTTCAGTGAGGTCTAATAGCTCTGGCTGAAAATTGTGAATGCCCTTCCCTAAACAGAAATTGGTGACATAACACTGAGTTTTATCTGTACATGAGAGCCAATATGGCATAGTGGTTGGAGCACTGGGCTAGGACTCTGAGAGACCAGAGTTCAAATCCTATTTGGGCATGGACTCCTACTGGGTGACATGGGTAAGTCACACTTTCTCAGCCCCAGAGGAAGGCAACCTCAACCCCCCTCTGAACAAATCTTGCCAAGCAAACCTCATGATACAGTTGCCGTAGGAGTGCTATAAGTCAGAAATGACTTGAAGGCACACAACAACAGCAACAACAACATAACTGTACTGAGGTTTGTAGTCTTGATTTAAATATTTATAGAATGTTTTACCCTTTATTTCTGCTTGTTTCTGTTTGCTTTTAAAATGCTTCAGTACATGTTTTTTTCTGGCCAGATAAATAAAATAAAATAAAATAAAATAAAATAAAATAATTTGCATACCCACATTCTTTTTCTGCTTGGACTTCTAACATGTCACTGGGCAACTTCAAGAATGAAAAATGTCCAGAACAGAAGAGCAAAGATTTCTGTCCATGCCTTTTAGACACGAGATGGATTTCATCTGGGCTGTTGCTGGTAAACTGTCTCTCCGTTTTTCACAGAGGGCGAGGCAAAAACTTATTTGTGAGGCAAGTGGGTTGAAAAATGTTCGCATGACTGGAGGCACTGAGTTGTTCATTTGTAATCCCCCGTCACAAACGGTGTTGGAAGGATGCCAACACTTATCAATTTTTCACAATGTCATTTACAAGGAGGGTTGTTCCCCCCCCCCCGCCATGTGCATTTTAGTTACACATTCATTGATGCTGAGGATCTTGGCTATTTGAGTTGGTAAGTTTAGTTCTTGCAAAACAACTCCTCTCTTTTTCTGCTTCTTTAATCTAGAAATAGTCCCTTTGGCCTATTTCATTTAAATTGTCGACTACAACTATATAGAAGTTTTTATAGTGCTATATTTGGCACAATTCCATTTTATCCTTCCTCTCCATACTGACAGTGGGCTCCTCATCAGACGCAAGAGGAGAAAAAAGCCCCACACATTTGCTGTCTTCCTTTTGAAAATGAATGTATTCGTCAGAGGTGCAAAATCTTTTTCCTGCTACTTTCCTACCCGTGCAAAATCACACAAATAAGCAAAATAGCTTTTATTTCACTGATGGGAGAAACTTTCCACTTGAACTAGGAAAAGTTAGGTTCCCCTCCTCTCCCCATTACAAGTCCCAGAATCTCCCAGCCAGTATAGCTATTGCTGGCATGGATTCTGGCAGCCATCTGGAATATTCTGAGGGCTGATTGGAGGACTCCAGGATCTGTAGTCCAAAAAGCTAAATTCCTCCATCTTTGCTTTCCACCATGTTCATTTTTTAAAGGATGCTTAAAAGACCGACAAGGCAAGCATTTCAATAGGAAGACCAGTTAGCCGGCAGAATGCTTATGAGACAGATCATTTTTATTTTTGTGTGATGGCGGATAGCCTATTTTTTTTGGCTATTTTGCTTGTAGGGGAGAAACATTGGTTGCCATTCTGTCTGTGACTTCTATAGGTGTAGGTCAATTGTTTTTTTGGTTGTTGTATTGGTCAGAATTTTCTACAGATCTTGCTCAATGATCAAATTCCTACATTTTATCTTCTGCTGCCCCAACATGACCATTTACTAGTTGGTGGAGAGCAGGTAGGCTGGTGGAGAACCATACAGCCATGCTCCTCTAGCTCAGTGGTTCCCTAGTTGGTCCTCCACGTGTTTTGGACTTCAGCTCCCAGAAGTCCTAACCAGCTTGGCCAGCAGTCAAGATTTCTGGAACTGAAGTCCAAAACATCTGAAGGACAAAAGTTTGGGAACCACTGCATCTAGCTAGATGCACAATGATGATGTTATCCTCCCAAACTTCTGGAAGACCCCCTAGAGGTCCTGGATCATGCCTTGTCAAAAAGGACACAGCTGGATGCAAAATGGCTGGGGAATGACCATGTTGATATAGGTAGAATTCCAAGATATAGTCATGTTAGTCTGGACAATCACTGTATAGAGAGATCTTGTAGCACCTTTTAGGACCTTATCACACGTGGGCCACAAAGCAATAAGAAAGCGAAATA